CCTCAGTAACCTGCGCAGCCGGGACGCCTGCCAGACAGATGCTGGCCCGGCTCCCACGGGGCCGCACGAGGGCTCTGCCCGCTCAGGATCTCGAGCCGGGAGCTCCGTGCCCCTTGCCCAGGGGGCCAGCGGAGGGGGGGCGGGGGCACTCACAGGCAATGCGCACGTAGGCCTTCTGGCTCTTGGTGGTCCCTGAGGAGCTCCAGGCGACGCACTGGCACCAGTACTCCTCCAGCCCAAAGATCCGCTCCACCTGCTGCCGGGAGATATCGATCCGGACGTCCATGAGGGGCAGCCCTGGGAGAGGGCAGTGCGTCAGGGAGGAAGGGGACATGCTGGGGTGGCGCTGCCCCTGCCCCCAGCCCTCGCAGGGGCCAACCCATTACAGAGCACATGTGTCACGGGGTGTGGGGGGACACAAGGCCCTGCACCCCCGGCTTCCTGCGATTCACCATGACTCTCAGCCAGCCAGTAAAGCAGCAGGTTTATTTAGACGACAGGAACATAGTCCAAGACAAGTCTTGCAGGCACAGACAACAGGACCCCCCCACCCCAGTTAGGTCCATCTTGGGGTCCCAGGGGCACCACAGCCCCATTGGGGGGGGCAGAGCCCCGTCTGGGCTCCCTCCATTACCAGCCAGCTCCTGAAAACTCTCTCCCCAGCGCCTCCTCCCCCAGCCTTTGTTCAGTTTCTGGGGCAAAGGTGTCACCTGGCCTCTAACCCCTTCCTGGGTTCTCATGTTACATGCTCAGGTATTCTCCGTCGGTCAGTCTCCCATCCCCCAATGCAGACCGTCCTAGCCACACTCCCCACTCAGCATTCAAAGACCACATTAAGAACAGTCCCAGTTCGTCACATCTCTCCCCCCTTCGAGACCGAACTGAGCGGGGTCACTTCAGCCAGTGACCTGGGGAAGTTCCAACCTACCCACGTTCCCATGGATGCCCCAGCATCCCTCCCGTTCCTTGGTGAGAATTACACCAGGCCCTTCCAGTTTCACGCCCCCCCTTAGGTCGGGGGTGCTCGATGACACTCGTAGTTCGCACGTGGGAAGGGTTATGCGGCCCGTGCCCTTTTCCCACCCCAATACCCCTGGGGTTCCAACTGGGCTGGGGTCTTCCCCCAGCATTCCAGTCTGGAGGTCTGTGCTTCGGGCTCTCTTGGTTCAGAGCCCCCCTTTTAACCTTGGCCACCCTCTGGAAAGGCTCCTCTATGCTGGGCAAGGGTCCTAGAGCCGTTTTCCCCTTGTCCCGGGCTTTCCTCCCCCTCTGACAGGGGTCACAGGATCAGCAGTACTGCCGGACAGTAACAAAGACCCCAGGCCAGTAAAAGCTCCGTAGCAGCCTCTGCTGGGTACGCCAGGTTCCCTGGTGCCCTGAGAGGGGAATGTCATGGGCCCGGTACAGCAGCTGGCGGCGATACTTCTGGGGTACCACCAGCTGCCTCCTGATCCCCCCTGACTCCATTTTCCCTGGGGGAGCCCATTCTCGGTACAGGAACCCCTTCTCCCACAGGAACCTTTTCCGGCCACCTCTCCCCATGGTCCGTACCGCACTGAGGTCGGCCAGGTCCCTTATCTTCCACAAGGAGGGATCTTTCTGCACCTCGGCCTGGAACTCAGCAGCTGGGACAGGGATGGCCACCTGCTCTCTCTTGCCATCTGGGTCTGAAGCCGCAGCCTCCCTGAGCCGTGTCCCTGGGTGTTCCCTCCCCACCAGGTTAGGGTCCTGCGCCTCGGGCAAGGCACCCTCCCCAAGGCCAGGGCGCAGTGCCCCTCGCCAGCTCTGACTGCGGGTCACAACCAGGGCACCCTGGGGGTTGCTTGGCCAGTCCTCCAGGTCCCCCCCCATCAACACCTCAGTGGGCAAATACAGGCATACCCCCACATCCTTGGGGCCCTCCTTGGCCCCCCACTTCAGGTGTACCCTTGCCACGGGCACCTTGACTGGGGTCCCACCCACCCCCATCAGGGTCAGGTAGGTGTTGGGCACCACCTGATCTGGGGCCACCACCTCGGGCTGGGCCAGCATCACCTCTGCGCCCGTATCCCAGTATCCATTGACCTTCCTCCCATCCACCTCCAGGGGAACAAGGTACTCTCTCCGGAGGGACAGCCCCGCGCCCACCGTATAAACCAAAAACCCTGAGTCTGGAGCATCCAGCCCCCCAGAGGAGCTGGCCTGGAGCTCTCCTCCCTCCTTAGCAGGTGGTACGCTGCCAGCCCCCCTTCCCTGGGAATGCCGCCTCTCGCCCGGCTGGGTCTCTACCCAGTCAACCCTCTGTGGGTTCGGTCTGCTCAGTCTGTCCCTGAGCCTGGGGCACTGGGCCCGTATGTGGCCTCTCTGGCCACAGTGATAGCAGCTCATGTCCCGTGGGTCCCCTCGAGCTGGTCGGTTGTCCCTGACGCTGGGCGTTCCCCTTGGGAGGGGATTCCCCATATTCCCCCTTTGGGAAGTCCCCAGGTGACTCTCTCTCTGAATCGCGGTGAGTCTGTTCCTTTGGGACTCCTCCCTGCCACCCCCTGACCGGCTCCTCACAAACTCATCGGCCAGCCGCCCTGCGTGTCGCGGGTTCTCTGGCTTTTTGTCCCTCAACCACAGCCTCAGGTCGGATGGGCACCGCTCATACAGTTGCTCCAGTACCAGCAGTTTAACCAGGTCCTCCTTTGTCTGGGCCCCATCTGCCCACTTGCTGGTGTATCCCTCCATGCGGACGGCTAGTTGCAGATATGAGACCTCAGGGGTTTTATCCTGACTCCGGAACCTTTCCCGGTACATCTCAGGAGTCAGCCCAAACTCACGTAGCAGGGCTTTTTTGAATAGTTCGTAGTCCCCTTTCTCCGCCTCGTCCAGTTGGCGGTACAATGCCACGGCTTTGGGGTCCAGTAAGGGGGTGAGAACCCGGAGTCTGTCCGCAGGATCAACCTGGTGCAGCTCGCAGGCCGTCTCAAAGGCATCCAGGAAGTCATCCATGTCCTCCCCCTCCTTGCGTGGGGCCAGGATGCACTTATCAAAGCTCCGTGCAGTCCTGGGTCCCCCCTCACTCACCGCAGCCGGGGGCTCGCTGCCCCTCAGTCTCGCCAGTTCCAGTTCATGCTGACGCTGTATCTCTTCATGCTGCCTCTGTTTCTCTTTTTCCTCCCGTTCATGCTGTCTCTGTTGTTCATGATCTGCCAGCTCTCTCAGGGCACGTCTTCACTACCCGCCGATCCGGCGGGTAGCAATCGGTCTATCGGGGATCGACTTACCGCGTCTAGTGAAGACGCGATAAAATCGATCCCTGATGGCTCTGCCGTTGACTCCGGAAATCCACCGCGGCAAGAGGCGGTAGCGGAGTCGACGGCGGCGTGGCAGCGGTCGACTTGCCGCCGTCCTCACAGCCAGGTAAGTCGACCTAAAATACGCCACTTCAGCTACGCTATTCACGTAGCTGAAGTTGCGTATCTTAGGTCGACCCCCCGCTGTAGTGTAGACCTAGCCTCAGTTTTAGCTCTTTCTCCCATTCCAGCCGCTTCCGCTCCACGGATGGCACGCGTGGCCGGGAGGATCCCCTGCTGGCCGGGGGGGTCACAGCGCCCGCGGTATTTGCTGGGCTCCTCCCCACCCTTCCCCTAGGCATATGCAGGAGGGGTCTCGGGAAGCCCTCAGCAGCCGGCTGACCACTCCCAGCTGGGACAGACACTGGGGCCTGCGCTGCATCTGCCCGGCTGCTTCCCTCAGAGACAGGGATCAGTTCATTCGAGCGATCTCCCTCCTCCAGCCGGGCAATGAGCTGTTCTTTGGTGAGCTTCCCAATGCGCAGCCCCCTCTGCTTGCACAGCTCCACCAGGTCGCTCTTAAGCCGCTTGGCATACATCTTCCTGCTGCCACTCACAGGCCTGGGTGCTCACCGCTCCCCACAGTTTCCAGGGACACCCCTAGTGTGCCAGCCCTTCTCGAGGTCACCCCCTCTCTGCCAGGGTCGAGCTGCAGACTCCTCCGCCCCTGGGACCGCTCGCTGGGATCCCCCGGGGGACCCTGTTACTGCAAACGTCCTTCTCGCTGGTCACACACTCCCAGGGGTGATAACCGTCTCTCTCTGACTCCTCAGCACGCCTGGTCCCCGTCAATCCCCCTTCGTTTTACTTCTCCCCAGTCACTTACTGCAGGAAGCACCGTCCACGGGGTGCAGTAGATCCCGCCGCTGCCACCAGTTGTCACGGAGTGTGGGGGAGTCAGGGCCCTGCACCCCCGGCGTCCTGCGATTCACCATGACTCTCAGCCAGCCAGAAATGCAGAAGGTTTATTTAGACGACAGGAATACAGTCCAAGACAGGCCTTGCAGGTACAGACAACAGGACCGCCCCCCCCAGTTAGGTCCATTTTGGGGTCCATAGGGCACCACAGCCCCATTGGGGGGGGGCAGAGCCCCGTCTGGGCTCCCTCCATTACCAGCCAGCTCCTGAAACTCTCTCTCCCCCAGGATTTGTTCAGTTTCCCGGGCAAAGGTGTCACCTGGCCTCTCACCCCTTTCTGGGTTCTCACGTTACATGCTCAGGTATTCTCCCTCAAGGCCAGTCTCCCATCCCCCCATGCAGACCATCCTAGCCACACTCCCCTGCCTTCCCAGCCAACACTCCCCACTCAGCATTCAAAGACCACATTAAGAACAGTCCCAGTTCGTCACAACATGCCTAGACGGGCCCCTCAGGTCCCAAGGCAGCTCAGCCCAGGGGCTCCCCCGGATCCGCGGCGCTCGCGGCGAAGGGGGTGCAGAGCTGCCATCCCATCTCCAAGCCGGGCCCCCGAGAGCAGGGAGAGCTGTTTGTATGTTTTATGAATCCTGTGTGTGCCTCAGTTTCCCCTATACTGTGCATGGCTCCAAGGGTGGGGTGGGGACAGTTTGCTCTCAGGGAGGCTAAGAGACATAGGTGGGCATGTCGCCCGCTGTCTGAGCCAGGGTGGGGCACTGAAAAAAGACTGGCTGAGTCTGACTCCATCTTAGTGGAGAATCTGAGACGACCATGGCAGATCCCATCGCCAGGACACTGACCCCTCGCGCCCCAGAGGGAGATGGGTCCCCCCCAGCAGGGAAGCTGGGCACAGATCCCAGCTGGAGAACAAAGGGCGGGGAGGGGGGATAGGAGCTGGCTGCTGGGAGGAGCCGCGGCTCTCACCTGGGATCAGACACAGCCCCTGACACTGGGGTTCCCTGGGCTCTGGGCTGGCCAGGCTGGGCCGGGCTCTCACCTGCCTCTCTCTGGGCTCCCCTAAGGACTCCCTGTTCTGTGCCCGCTGCCTGCCCAGCCCCCGCGCTGGGGGAGTGTCGCTGCGAACGCTGGGCGAGGGGCATTGCCCCCTGCGGAGGGGACACGTCTCTCCCGGTGGCGTCTGGCTCAGCTGGACTCGCTGGCAGAGCTCACAGGGGGTTAGGGGGGCTGGAGCCCAGAGGTTCAGTCCGAGGAGGCGGTGAGGCCGCGGGGCCCACGCTGGAGGAAGCGTGAGCCCCCTCGGGGGTCTGGCCCACTGGAGGGGTCGTCCAGAGGCTGTTCCCAAGCTGGGGCGGAGCAGCCAGACTGTGGACCCCTGACATGCACACCCCAGCTCTGCCAGTGCCCCTCAGGCCTGGCCTGCACCCCTGGGCACAGCTGGCCAGCGGTGCTGCTGTATCTCAGTGACTGAGCGGAGCTCAGACCTCTCCCCCCGCACAGAGCTCTGCATACACAGCCCACTCCCCGGCTCCCTCTGACACAGGCTGGCTGGGGCTGCAGCCCCCCCAGGACCCCTCCCGTCATGCACAGGCCTCGCTGACAGCTGCTGCCCCTGCCAGGCTGTGGAGACACCTGCCCTCTGCCCCGGGAGAGCCAGCAGCTGCAGGAGCAGAAGGAGCCTCCAGAGGGGAGGAGGGACGAGCGCTGGAGGTCGCTGCAAGGACACGTGGTGCAGGGCGCTCCCCTGGCTGCCTGCGCGGGAGGGCGGCACAAGGACAGCCCCGAGCAGGGGGCTCCAGAACAAGCCATCCACCCCTTGGAGTGGGCAGTCTGGCCACCCCCACGGGTGGGAGGGGAGCAGATAGGAGCCTGGCGGTTTGCATGCGAGGGACCGTGCATGGCACAGCTCTGCACACACCAGGGACCCCCGTGCTCCCAGGCAGCCGACACGTGGAGCTGCAACCCGGTGCCAGCAGGGGGCAGCGCGGCACGTTGGTGCAGAAAGGTGGATTTCCCGGTGCCCAGGATGGCTGATGGCACCTCGGATCGTGGGCACTGAGAGACACCGTGGCTGGGGCGGGGCCTTTCCCCAAGGCAGCTCTGAGTGGGACCAGCCGGGCTGGCATGGCCCGGTGCGGCGGGGAGAAGCACGGGCGCTGCAATTCAAGGAGACCCTCTGACTCGTTGCCCCACTCCTGGGCACTCGCCAGCTCCACCCCCCCAAGCCAGCCCAGCCCTGCACTCCAGGACACGGCGCCCCCCAAGGCTCCCTGCTGGTCTGGCAGTGCAGTGATGGGGGCGGGGGGACCGAGCCCTCCCCTCTGTGCCATCGTCCAGCCCGGGCAGCGTCAGGCCAATGAGCCAACGTCAGGCTCTGCGCCATGGTGTGATGCCCTCCAAAGTTCTGAGGAGCCGGGGCATGGCCTGGCTGCGGGGCCTGTGCCAGGGGACAGGCCTCATCTCCGGCCAGAGCCCAGCCAGCGAACGCGGGGTCCGGCCGTGTCGGGCCCAGAGTGGGACCATGGGCTCGACCTGCTGCCTTCCCCATGTAGCCATGGCCTGGGATGGGCCCAGACACTCATGCATGCCGCGCTCCCAGCCCAGCCCCCTCACGACATGGGGGCACACGCCCTGGCTGTGCGGCCCTGGGCCCCTCCATGGCTCTGGGACAGCAGGACCTGGCCACAGGGTCGCCAGGAGAGCAGGGGATGGGGGAGCAGGCCTCTCCCCCAGGGCTCCTCCTTCCAACCCCAGCTCAGTCACCCCCAATCTCCCTCGCCTGCCCCCCACTGCCCCTCCAGCGTGACCCGAGGCAGGTCCCCACATTGCTGGGGGCACATGTCCCGCAGGGACCAGCAAACTCATCTCACTTGTGTCCAGATTCGCCCAGGCCTGGGGGTGCCTGGAGCCAGTGTCAGAGCAGCCCAGCCCTGGCCGGCTCGCGGGGTCTCCGGTTGGGCACAAGGTGTGCAGGGCACCAGCTTTCCCTGCTTCCGGCCATGGGCACGGCCAGCCGAAGGGGTTTCACCACCCTTGCTGCCCCTGCCCCGATGCCCAGGCCCCAGCCCGGCCAGCGCTGCCCTTACCGGTGCCCTGGTCCGTGCTGCGCTGCGTGACGTGCTCGCCCTGGTGCACCCACTCCCCGTTGCACTTGAAATAGATCTGGGTGGCGGGCGTCGCCCTGCAAGCCAGGCTCACGGGCTTGTTCTTGACGATGTAGACATCTTGGGGCTCCAGCAGGAAGTGGGGCAGCAGGTCCGAAGAGGCCCCCGGCATGGGGTTGGCCACTGTGGCACTCTGCTGGGCACCTGGCAGGAAAGGAGAGAGTCTCAGAGCCCCCAGGGCCATGGAGGTGGGGCAGTGAGCCAGGCTGTGCCCTGGGGTAGCCCCGAGGAGAGCATCTGGGGCAGCAGCCTAGAGAGCGCCCAGCCAGCCCCAGCCTTTGGAGTCACCGAGCCCAGGGCCAGCAGGGACCCTGGGCTCACCCTGTCTGGGAAGTCGCAGGCCAGGGACAGCCCAGAATCACCCCTAGAAAAACTCCTCACATGGCCAGTGATGGGGAATCCACCAGGACCATTGGCAAATCCCCTCCCTGTTAAAAATGGGCCCCTACTGCCAGTCTGAATTAATCTGCCTCCCGCTTCCAGACCCTGGGTCGGCTCAGACCTTTCCCCGTGGGACGCAAGGGCCCGTTAGTGAGTGTTTGTTGCCCATGGAGATACTGACAGACGGGACCAACTCACCCCGTAACTCTCTCTTTGGTCAGCCCCTGGAGTCTGTCCCACTAAGGCAGGTTTCTAACCCTTTCATCATTCCCGGGGCTCATCCCGCCCCACTTTACCAACGTCCTTCTTGAACTGTGGGCACCAGAACCGGGCACCGGGTTCCAGCCGCGGTCGCACCAGTGCCGAATACAGAGGGAAAATCACCTCTCTGTGCCACTCGCAATCCTGTCCCCAGCATCACTCTGGGCACCCATGTTCACGTGCTTCTCTACCACGGCCCCCAAAGGGCTGGGGGCTTTGTCCCCTCCAGGCACCTGCCATCCCCGGCGGATCCGGGTCACAGTCCTGAGTAGCTGCCTCCTGCTGCCCCAGCCGGTGTGGGGGGGTCACCCGGCTCTACCAGCTGCCCCCACCCCGGCTAATTCATCAGCGCCAAGCCCAGCGCGGTGCCCGCTGAACCTGGCGTGACCCCCCCAGCCGCACTTAACGGCTAATGAAAAGGAAATGTCGTGGGAGCTGCCGGGGCCATGAGTCACTTCTCCGGCACCCGCAGTCTGGGCTGGGCAGCCACCCGCTGGCACCACCGCGGGGAGGGGGCAATGCCCACGCCTGGGCGCTGGGGCGCTGGAGCTGGGGGGCGGGCCTGGAGCAGGAGCTGGGAACCCCACATTGGAGGAGCTGTTCCTTCACCGGGCAGCCCCTTCCACTCCCCTCCCCCGCAGCACCCTGGCCCCACCAGCCTAGGGAGGGGGCAGGAATGTCTGAGACACCCCAGGTGACGGGGCTGGAGCAGGGCACGGGGTGCCCATCGCTAGGAGACCTGCACCTGGCCCCTCCCCCAGCAACCCCCCCAGTCAGCCCACGCCTGCACCTGGACACCTCCCACCCCCTCCACACAGCACACGACCTGTCCCCCTTGGCCTGACCCCCAGGGAACAGGAGTCTGCTGCTGCCCCAGCCAGGCGGGCATCCGTCTGTCCCCACAGCCCAGCCCAGCCCGCCCTGCACCGGCCAGGCCACACCTGCGGGCTGCCCAAGCCAGGGCCCTTGGCTGCGAGGGAGTCCCGCCGGCTGGCAGCGCCAGGCCCCGGCTCAGACTCCCTAGCAACAGCCCCGCTGCGGGCAGGCCTGTGGGGAGCCGGGTGCCGTGGAGACAGAGCCTTTCCCCCCGGTGCCAGGGGCAGGAGAAAATGCCCCAGCCAGCATAGCCAGCGTGGGTGGTGCGGGGGGCACAGGGGAGTGCAGAGCCCCACACAGCCTGGGGCTGGGCACTGCCACACCGCGGGCTCCCGTCCGGGGAGGGGCTCTCAGCAGCCACGGGGCCTGGGCAGGGGGCAGGCTGGGCACAGAGGACAGGCGGGTGCCTGTGGGGCAGAGAAAGCAATGCCTGGGCCGGGGACCCTGCGGGGAGTCGGGCAAGAGACAGCGCACGGAGCTGGGCTCCACCACGGGGCTAAATGGGTGACGGGGGGGGTGGTGGAATCCAGGAGCGAGGACCCCCCGTCTGGCTGCCTCCCCTCCAGCCCCCCCGCCGACAGAGTTACTAAAACAGCCCTAACTCCGCGGTTGATTAACAAATGATAAACTAGCAATTGTGGCACTCGGAGCTGTAATTGCCGCTGCTAATTGGCTGGTTAGGATTTAATCAGCAATTACATGGAGTGCAGGGCAGTAATTAAGTGCCTCCTCGCACAGTCCCCCGATCCCGCGTTTTCCGGATCCGGCACCTCCAGACCCCCGGTTCTCCCAAATCACGCGCAGTCCCATGGGGCTCAGAGGGGCCTGGGGGCTGCGCACACAGACTAGGGTGGGGCAGGAGGGTGCGCAGAGAGCCAGGGTGGGGCAGGACGTGCATAGATGGGACAGGGACGGGGCTGTGGGGCAGGGTGCCTTGGCGGGGGGCGGCACCTCTCTGGGAAGGGCAAGCCTGTTATCAATCCTGATGCCACCCGGAGCCCCCCGGCCCCCGAACAGTCTGTGCTGGCTGGGGGGCGCAGCACGGCAGTGCCAGGGCCAGCTGTGCACGGTGGGGACACTCAGCTCACCCGCCGTGGCCCCTGGGCCAAGCCTGAGCCAACAGCAGCCCGGCCCGAGGGGCAGAGGCGAGTCCAGCTGAGCCCTGTGGCCAAGGACCCTGCTCCAGTTCGGGCCGGGGGGGGTGGCTCCCGCAGCCAGGCCCAGCGGGGCAGCCGGGGGACATCCCCAAGCCCCCCAGGGACGCCCAGTGCACGGGGATTTCTCTTCCCTCTGGAACGGGCTCAGCTGCAGCAGCCCAGGCGGGCGGGAAGCTGGGGGAGCCGGGCATCCGCCCTGTAGACGAGCTCTCAGAGCCCACCGTGCTCCCCCGTCCCGGCCAGGGGAGGCCTGTGCTGAGCCTGCCGCCCGCTGCCCTGCCCGCGCTGCCAGGCACAGACGGGGCTGCCTGCCTGCCCACCGGAGAGGGGACGCTGCTGGAGCAGAGCCAGCTGCGAGCCCCGGCCCTGCCACCCGGCCCGGCTGCGCCGCGGCCTCCCGCTCCCGTCTGCCACCAGCTGAGGCAAGGTGCTGCAGCTAATTTCCATGGGGAAGATAAACAGGAGCCATAACGCGCCATTAATCCCCCATCAGCACTTTTACAGCCTCGCTGGCAATTAATTCAATTAACCCCCGTCCTGGGGAGAAAGGCATTTCCTATTTCACAGATTGAACGACCCCCAGCTGCAGCCTGGGCCAGCCGGAGACTCACCCGCACACACGCACGCACACTGCGGTCTCATGCACGCACACAAACACACACACACACTGCGGTCTCACACACATACACTGCGGTCTCACCCGCACACACATCGCAGTCTCACGCGCACACACACACTGCGGTCTCACCCATACGCACACACGCATGCACACTGCGGTCTCACATGCACACATGCATGCACAATGCGGTCTCACACGCACACACGCACGCACACTGCAGTCTCATACGCACACACACACTGGTCTCACCCGCACACACGCACGCACACTGCAGTCTCGCACGCACGTACACTGCAGTCTCACCGGCACGCACGCACGCACACTGCGGTCTCACACACACACACACGCACACTGAGGTGTCACCTGCACACACACGCACACACACTGCGGTCTCACCCACATGCACACACACTTTGGTCTCACACACGCACACTGCGCGCAGGCCACGGTGCACGTCAAGTCACCAGAAAACACGCACCCTGCAGCCACCTGTTGCAAAGCACACGCTACACATCAAACACGTGTGCACGCCCATGCGCCCAGCACGAACCCCAGACGTGCTCCTGCTCAGGCCAAGCAGCTGGGGAGTTACAGCCAGGTGCAAACCCAAGGTGTCGTTCAGCACCGCAATGAAAGAACGCCAGCCCCTGCCGGGCTCTGTGCCTGGCTCTCCAGGGACCTGGGCTCTGCTCACATGGGAAATGAGTTTAGCGGTCTCTGATCTAAGTCCACACTGGGCATCCAGCCACATCACATAGACCAGCCCTCCAACATAGCTCAGGAGAAACCCAGGCTGGGCTGGCAGGGGGCTGCAGGTCAGGACTGAGGGGCACCGGTGGAGCTGGGGGGGGGGGAGCCCAGGGCCCAAGCCGGGAAATTGCCCCAAATCCCTCCCAGAGCCAACCTGCCAGAAAACCTCTGGGTTGGATTTGCAGATTGCCAGCGATGGAGGCTCCCACGTGCCCCGGTCAGTGGCTCTGATGGTGATAAGCCAGTAACGAGCGTCTATCGACAGCTGGTGCTGGGACCTCGGCCCTTGGTCCGTGGAGGGGCTGGGCTTTGCAGCTGCCTTCTCACGGCCCGGAGCCGCCGAGGGCCTGGCCTCAGCTACCAGCACCAGGGCAGCGGGATGGCAGCGCTGAGCGTATGTGACCCCACCCATGCAGGGCTCACGGGCACCCACGCAGGGCTCACATGGTCACGCAGGGCTCGGGCACACACCCACAAGCGCACAAACCCCTGTGGGAAGTGCCAGTCAGGGGAGCCCCAGGGCTCCCAGACCAGCTTGCTGGCATCTCCCAGGCTCTGTCCTTGCTGCTCCCTGGAGACACGGCTCCCGACAGCAGCCCCATGTGGGGGGGGCACAGGGGGGCACCTGGTTGCTGCCCGGGGGACGGACTCAGGTGGGACATGCCCCCAGCGGGGGAGGCGCCAGTCTCAGGATGTGCAGCTGGCAGAGGAACTGACCTCAGCAGGCCAGAGCCGCCATCCCCCGCGTGGGGTTCCAGGCTCACGTGGGGCTGGCTCCTGCCGGGGGCTTTGCCCAGAAACAGACGAATGGCTGCGCCAGCGCCCAGCCCTCCCAAGAGACCCTCCAATAACAACCCTCCCCACGCTGCCCCATTGGCCCCCCTTCGGCCCTCGCGCTTAGTCAAGAGTGGCAGGCTGGCGGGGCTGTTCCCGACGGGGCAAGGCAGTGCGAGGAGTCTGCGGTGTAGCCACGAGGAACAGGTGCTCAGTCCCCATTCCCTGGGACCAAACAGCCCCCCCCCCCCCACTATCCCCACGCCTGCCCCTCCGGCAGGTTCTGTGCCCAAAGAGCTGCTCACTCTCACCCTGCCCTGGCACCCAGGGAACCCCTCCCCCAGTTGCTCTTACTACATAAAGGAG